TGAGATGCACTCCAGCCCCCCCCTCCCCTCTTGGGAGGGGGGCCAAGATAAAAACCCACTGCCCACCACTGACATTATAGGACACAATTTGTTTTCTGGATGTCAAAAAGCAGTCTGAGGGGCGGGAACACAGCAAACAATAGGCTAACAGACCCACAAAATACAAAAATCCGAGGCTGCCATCAACCGGAAAAGGTCCACCTGGGAAAACTTAAAAGCTGGATTCCGGGATAAAAAAAGCACTGTAACTATAAGAGGCATGTGTATTCTTACTTCATTCCTGGTGTACTTTGTGTATTCCTTCAGATAACTGCAGTAATCCTGTCTGAAACGTTGCCTCTGCGCAGGAACTTCCTGTAAAAAAGATACGTTATTGTTGCTCTCTCTCCTTGTGCAGGGTGACTGGTCTTGTTCCCACCCCCTCCTGCAGTAGGTGGGGCCTGCTGGGTCCATACCACAGCTCTGCTTTACATAGTCTGTACAGAGAGCACAGTGATGATGCCACTGCAACTTTTTCAAAGTTATATCTTTGTTTGCAAAAGCCTCGGTGCATACAATGTGGATTTATATCCTTTGTGGCTATCGAGTATATTTAAATCAGAGCTCAGCTTTAACAAAAGTGGACTAGAAGAGAAGGTGGCAGCCTGGCAAATCTAAGAAATGGATGCCTGATGCTGAAATGCAGAAGACAGGAATCTAGTGGAGTGTGCTTTGACCAGGAAAAGGGAAACCTTGCCTTTAATGTCATAAGCTTGAAAAGGTAAGCTGTCAAAGCCACCTAGCAACACTGGAATGAGGAGATGGCTGTGCCCTATGGGAACCTTCAGGAACAACAAATTGAAATTCAGAAAAGGTAAGCAAGTCTCCTGAGAATGATTAGGAGCAGGACACAGACAGTTGAATAATGTCCTGGTTAAGGTGAATGGAAGAAAACACCATGGTAAGAAAAGAGGCTCTGGGTTTTAAAATCTTGTCCTTGGGTAATACAAGAGGTCTTTACAGATTATGGCCTCAAACTCAATGGAATGATAGCAGTGAGAAAGGCAACATTGAGAGTACGGATAGACACCACTAAGGCCTCCACTAAGGAGTGAAAGACAAGCAGTCTCTGAAACAGATCCACTAGGGCCAAGACTAGACCCTTGATGGTACTTAAAATCAAACAGTAATCAGACCAGATTGGAGAAAAACAGGATATGACCCACAAAGAACATCACGGAATCAAATGATGGCGTCTCTTACAAGGTATAGCTTTCAATAGCATAAGAAAGACGGCATCTGACAGGTCCCTGTCCCTCAGGACCCGGCTTGGACCGGCAAGCCTTCCGGACCAGCAAACAAGGGCAGGTGGTAAGCCGGCCCTTAAGACAGAAGACAGACAGACAATCTGAAGGGCCCTTGGAGAGTCTGTCAGATGCCTGGATGAGGTCCCTTTACCACAGCCACCTGGGCCAGTTCAGTTCAATGACGTGCTCAGTCGGTTGTTGAATCTGAAAGCCAGTCTGTTTACATCCAGTGTCCCTTACCTGCGATATAGGACTTGAAACACCATGGAGTGAAGAGACCATTCTCTGGAGTCCCAACATTGATGACTGAGGAAGCCTGTCTGACAACTTTTCATACCTAATGGCAGTCAGGGCTGAAACATGAAAGTCTGCCCCAGCCAAAGTCAGGTCTCCTCCGCTTAGAGTAGTAAGAGTTCTGGTGCCACCCTATTGGTTGATATAAGCCATTGCCATGGCAAGGACAGACTGATTCCTTGTCAGATGGTCTTGCAGACGAGAGGTCCTGGATCAAAAAGGGATAACCAAATCGACCAGAGTTCCAGACTACTGATTGAGAGCGGAGCTTTCTCCGTTGACCTTGTAGCAAGAGGGAACCTAGAATGCTTCTTCAGTCTGACAGGCTGGCATCCACCTTGAGGATCTTCCAAACCCTTGGGAGGAAATATTTCTCCGATTCTAACGCCAAACTTGCAACTCCCCCAATGACAGGGCAAGCTTGGCCCTGCTGGTCAGGCACATGGGACGATCATTCGCGATAAATGGAAACTGATAATCATTGACCTAAAAAACGCTTTTTGTCTGGCTATCTTTGGCCTCAACAGTTTGAGTGACTTATCTGGAACAAGCATCCAGCAAGTGAAGTCAGAGGAAAGCCAAAATTCTAACTTTGCATGCTTGCTCCACGACAGTAACTCAGAACATTGAAGCCTTTGTATAAAACACAACAGCCAGGCAAAAGGAGACGAAGACAAAGAGTTAAGCAATCTATGGGAGTAATTTATCAAAACTGGAGCAGACAGAATCTGGAGCAGTTGCCCAGGGCAACCAATCAGCTTCTCTCTTCAATTTGTTCAGTTAAGTTTTAAAAATGAAAAGAGAGAAGCTGACTGGTTGCATTGGACAACTGGTCCATATTTTGTTTGCTCCACTTTTGATAAATTCTCTTCTATGTATTTTCCCACTAAGTTTCTGCAAGATACATTTTTTTTAAAGAAATAAAGCCTGACACAAATAGCTGCATTAAATAATGCAACTTTAAGATAATGTCACAATCACAGGACTTAAACAATATTATCACATACAGTTATTTTTCAAAAACCCATTAGTATTGAGGGGAAAAAAAACCCAAAACAATGCACACGGTAGCAGAAAGCTAACAATGCACTAAAAAAGCAGCATAAAATGTACAGACTGAGCTCAAGAGCTTCAGTATTATTTACACAACTCCTTTAATGAAGTTCCCATTATGCTAAAACTGTAACTACCAAAAAAAATCACGATAGAGGAAGCAGTTTTCTTTTTAGTGGCACTTTAGCCAGTTGAGCCAACAGCACTGAAGAATGACAAAATAAAAAAAAAAACTCAAATTCAAAACAAATACTTTTCTTTTAACGCTTTCACTGCTTACAATACACTATACAGTTCTCTGGTGGTCTACAGTTCGTAGTGTAGGATATATTGTGGGTTTAAAAAGAAAACAAACAAAACAGTCACAAAGCAAAATATCTATTCAAAGACTGCACTCTTACTCCTGTGCTACTCCCTGACAGGTTGGTCACCGGCAATAAGAATTTAGGCCTTGTTCACACCAAGCGCTGAGCAGGTGCAGAGCAGATCAGTTGCAGACCGGATCAAAACTGCGTCCAATGTATTCCAAATGGTATTTTTTGCTCCAGTTCACATTGCAGCGTGCAGTTCCAGAGCAGGTGAAAAAACTGCAGCAGGCCCTATTTCACCTGCTCTGGATGTGCTCTAGATCTGCAAACGCATGCAAATGCCTGGAACACACTGAAAGCCCATTTTAAACTTTAAATAAAAAAATATATATATATATTTTTTTTTAGCCAAAAACGCATCTAAAAGACTAGCGTGCGTGTGCAGAAACCTGACCGGATCTGCTCTGCATTTGGTGTGAACAAGGCCTAATAGATTGGATTTTGCAGCTCTGAAATTAGCATGCAGCCCAGGAGTCAGAAATGGCAGATTCCATTTGAGGACTCCTACACAGATATTTTACTTCATAAGAGTCCAGTTAGTTAGATGTTACAGTCAATCTTCCTCATTGTTATCCTCACGAATGTCATTGATGTCTGAAACTGGTTTAATGGCATCTTCTTTGTGGCGATTTTCACAGTGCGTTTGATGTTTTTTGAAACCCCTTGGATGATCAGTCTGAAAACTACATCTGTGACATTTATACAGGCCTTTGGTGTGAGATGCAAGATGGTTCTTCAAGTGTGTCTCCATAACAAATGTTTTCCCGCAGGTTTTGCATATGAATGGACTTGGCATATTATGCCTGGTGATCAGGTGGTGTAGAATAGGCCCTCTTTTCAAAGGTCGGCAATCACAAAGCAAGCAATGAAACCTGCCTTTTACACGTTTAACATGTTTCAATATTTCTTCATCTTTAACATAACCATCTTTATCATCTGAAGCATCAATGGTCTCATGAACAGTTAGAGAAATGTCTCTGGTGTTTATAGTTTCAAGTTTATCCTTGGTCCATGGTGTAGCTTTGTACAACTGCACAACTCCTGGCAAGCGGGTTGGAACACTTATATTCGTGGCTGTAGCTGCAATGTCCTTTTGATCACTAGATGTTACTTCATCAGGAATTTCACCATCTTCTGAAAATGGTGAAGACCCTTTCAATACTGAAGCAGGAGCATCATCTATACACTCAGTGTCTTTCGACTGAGTGGGAGTCGAATTGCCTTCTAAACATTTAGGCATATCTTTTGACTGAGGATAAAGGTCATCCTCATCAGAAAACTCCATAATGCCCTTTGAAATTGCTGGTGTGTCATCATCTTCTTCAGAAAACTCCATAATGTCCTTTGACAAACCTGATGTACCTTCTTCAGAAAATTCCATTACATGCTTTGATACATTTGTGGTTTCCTCCCCTTCAGAAAACTCCATTATATTTTTTGTTGCATTTGCAGTTTCTTCTTCATCTGAAAAGTCCATGGCATTCTTAGGTATAGCAGCAGGCTCTTCCTCCTCCTCTTCTGAAAATTCCATGATGTCTTTTGACAGAGCTGGAGCATCCTCCTCGTCATCCTCAGAAAAGTCCATCTCTTTTCCTGCGGCAAATGCATTTTCTTCCTCAGAAGAATTTTCAGGATCCTTTGACTGAGTTGGAGCAGCTTCTTCAGACATGTTATCCACAGGCTTTTCTTCAGGTGGCATCTCATCCTCAGAAATGTCCTCAATCCCTCTGGACTGGCTGGACTGGTCAGGTAGAGGATTATCTTCCGAAGAGGACTCTAACTCCTTTGTCTGAGGTGCAGTTTCCTCATCTTCTGAAAAATGTGGTATGCCACCTGGTAAAGCAGGTCCTTCATCATCATCATCTGAAAACTCTGGTATGTCCTTCGATAGAGAAGATGCTGCATCATTATCTGAAAATTCCGTACTAACTTTAGCCTTCGTAGAGCTTAATTTTGTTATGTTACTGCTATTATTGCTGGATTCAGACTCCGGTATATCAGGCTCACTACTTGACTCTTTGTCTTTAGTCTCTGCAGACATCTCACTGACCTTCTCTAGGCTGCTGCTTTTAAAATCACTGTCCGAATTATCTGGGTTATCCTGACGTGGAGCTGTCTCTGGCCAAGAAGTAAGCGTATCATTCTCTTCATTCTTTACAACATTATTTATCTTGTTTCGATGATCTTGCTCTTCCACATATTTATCATCTTCACTTTCCAAACTTTCTGAATCATTTTTTTCAGACTCGACTTCTGAAGCTGGTTCTGACTTAGGCTCAACAACAGGCTTGGTTTCATTGCTCCATTTGCCCGGCACTGCATGCTGATTTAAAATATGATAATACACATTGGCAAACATCTTGCTTGTGAAAAAGCACCGGTGGCAATGGAACAATCGTGCACTTTTCTGGTAAAACACTAGTTTTCCTAAGCCACCAGCATCAATTTCTTCACAGAATTCTGGGTGGATGGTTCCCATGTGGATTTGCATACTTTTGTAGTCACTGCCATGAAAACTGCAACGAGTACAGTCCAGCTGATTTTGTATAACTTCCATTTTTTCTTAACCGTCACCAGCAATATCTAGTCTTGCAGAAATCTGTTACCATCTGTATAAAATAGAAAAAAAAATATGTAAAACATTTGGTGCAAAGTTAAATCTACAATTTACATGCACACATTTACATTTTTACTGAAAAGGACAACATAACTGACTTGTGCAAGGCATGCTTACAGGAGAACTACCAGGTGACTTTTTTTTCCCCCATAGTTATCTTGTGGGTCACAGGAGGACATATACCAAGTCGTCCCATGACCCAAAACTCAGCTTATAGAGGACTATTGCCCCCTATATGCTGAGAGTACCGCAGCTGGGACGGATCCCGACAATACTGTCCACCCCGCTGGCTGATTGACAGCGGGCTCTGCCTATCTAGAGGCAGAGCCAGTTATGCCCGCGATGGAGGATCGGAGAGGGGAGGGAGGAATCCCTGCGGGGAGCGCTGGCTGACAAGTCACTGCTCTCTGCAGGGAGATGATCGGGAAGTGAGTGGATTGGCGGTATGTTTTCGCTCGCCGATCAATAGAGCCGATATGTGACAGTTTCAATGTCACACGTCGGCTCTAACTATGGGGATGAGTGTATTTCACTCACCTCATATTTCTCCTTTAAAGCAAACTTTAAAAAGGGACATTGTTGATGCCTAATGTGTATTAGAAGAATGTATTATTTATTTTTTATAGAGGCTAATCTAATACAGAGCAATACTTAACCTCACTTCACAGTCTCAGGAGACGCTATCCTTCTGTTTCAGTACACCTTAGTGCTGGAATGTGGGCAGGCACTGCTACACTGTCACGCACAATTCAAGACCAATAGTGGCCACCGGTCCTGCATATTATGCAATAATGTCGGCGAGAGGGGCAAAAAATAGGGTTTTCCTATTACTGCAGAATCCTTTTCTTGGAGTCCATTGAGGGACACAGCTCTGAAGAATTCTTATATGTAGGGCTACACAGCTGCCTCAAGTAGAAATGGTCACTAGGCAAACACAAATTAAAAGCTTGCCACATAAGCCTTCCCACCTGCAAGTTGTGTCCCTCAATGGAATCTGAGAAAAGGATTTTACAGTAGGAGCAAAGACCTATTTTTTCTATCATCCATTGAGGGACACTGCTATGAAGAACTCTGATACATAGGAACATTGAAAACCTTTCCAAAACAGAATGGTGGGCACAACAACAACCAGAAGAACCAGTTTAAAAACACAAAAGGAACTGTAAATACAGTATATACATTTGAAGAGCTATCTGAAGAACGTTTTTAATAAAACTAGCATAAGAGCAGGCAAAAACATTGACTTCATAAAACTTTGCAAAAAAGTGTGAACAGAAGACCAAGCTGTGCCCTTGCAAATTTGAGCAACAGAAGCCTAATTTTGAAATGCCCAAGAAGTACTAACTACTCTAGTAGAATGATCAGAAACAGGAAAAGCAGGAACCCTATCCTACAACTCATAAGCCTGAATGACGACCTGATGAATCCATTTTAAAATAGTGGATCTAGAAGCTGAATAACCTTTTCTAGGACCTTCTGGTAGGACAAAATTAGTCTGTACGCCTAAAGGAAGTTGTGGCTGAAAGATAAACTCTGATCGCCCGCACAAAATCCAAGCAATTGAGAAAATTCCTTAGGATGAACAGCAGTCAGACAAAGTGAAGTTAAAACAATGTCTTCATTAAAGGAAAAGTTGTGACCACCTTGGCCTCATAGACATGGAAAGGCTTCTTCAGCACTGTACTCTGGGAAATCTCATCTGCAAACTGCAGAATCCCGTCAGATCTTAGAGGTAAAGCATTTGTTTGCCCCCTGAGATGATTTGCAAAGCCCCATGTTTCAGGCACATGTGCCAGAGTTCAAGGAAGTAAAGGGAGATGGATTATTTTCTGCCCATAGTAAAACTGGCCACCGTGAGAAGATTGGGGATGGAAAGAAAAATAAAGCATGCAAAGAATAAAATGCCTGCAATTAGAAGTATCAGTTTGTAGATTTTTATTACCAACCATTTCTAAAAGGTGCCTGTTATTTTTAACAAAGTTCTTCTTTAACCTCTTGCCGTCCGCCCGTAGTAAAAAAACGGACGGACGGCACTGCTGCATCTGCGGGTTGCCGTCTCCAGACGGCAATTTTTTTCTGCTCGCGCGCACCCCCTAGCGGGCACGCACGCGCAGAAAAGACCCGACCAATGCACACACCCGTTACCGGGTGTTTCACATATAGGCGATCAGCGGGTCCATAGCCCGCCGATCGCCTATATGTGCTCGTTCGCGGCTAAGCCAGAGAGAAGAAGCTGATAAAGCAGATCTCTGCTTCATCAGCTTCTTTTGGGGTCCACAGGTGATATTAGGGGTCCTAGAGACCCCTAATGTCTCCATAAAGAGGACCTGTCAGTGTGCCTTTGCTATTATATAGTGGGTTGTTATCCCCCTATATAATAGCAATAACAATAAGTGCAAAAAAACTAATATAAATAAAAAAAAATAAAAGTAACACATAAAAAAGTAAAATAAAATAAAAGCCACATATAAAAAAAGGGGAAAAAACCCCCCCAAAATGTTTAACTCCCCCACCCCCACGCGCCTATAAACGTAAATACGCGTCCGGTGCCCCAGCGCGCAAAAATTACAATTGCGCTACACATGTTACATATCGCCGCGAACGTCGCAGTGAGAGCAATCATTTTAGGGCCATCAATCACTGATAACACTAAACTGATGAGCGGTAACAGCTTTTAAAGCGTCGCCTATGGCCAATTTTGGGTATTATCGTTTTTTGAGGTTTCGCGCGCGCACGCAATTTTAAGGCTTGACATGTTTAGTGTCTTTTTACCCGACGTGACCCCATCTTTTATATTTTACCAAAAAATTGGGTAATAATAAATGTTTTATCATTTAATATAGGGGAAACTGTTTTTTTTTTTAAATTTCGGTAATTTTTCCTTAATATAGTAAAAAAATAAAACCCCCAGTGGTGAATAAATACCACCAAAAGAAAGCTCTATCTGTCCCCAAAAAAGGGTATAAAATTCATTTCAGTACAGCGCTGCATGACGGAATAAATGTCAGTCAAAGTACCGCAGCGCTGAATACTGAAAAATGGCCTGGATGGGAACCGCGGATGTCAACTGGTTAAAGTGCATTTCAGGCCCCAGCTTTTTGTTTTATAAAGCCTATGGAATGAAACCTCTATCCAGGGGTGTGGAAATGTAAAAAAAAACTACTTGTCCAAGGGATAAAGCGGGGGCCGAATCTACTGGTCCCTCATGAAAATCTACTTGTCCCAATAAAAAAAAATAGTTTTAATCAAAACTAGGCATGCACCGATATAGGTTTTTGGGTATCGAGTACGAGCACTGATACTTTGCTTTCGGTACTCACCAATACCGAGTATCGGTGCTTCTGTTTGCCCGGGAAGCCTGCTCCATGCCATCAAAAGCTGGGCAGCAGGTAATTAATTACATGCTACCCAGCTTCCTGATTGCCAGGGAAGCCGACTCCATGTTGTTTGGCCGGCTTGATTGTGATTGGCCAGGAAAGCCGGCTTCCCAGCCAATCAGGAAACTGGGGGTGGGTCATTAGTCGCTGCCCCGCTTCCCGATTGCACGGGAAGCTGGCTCCATGTTCCCATACAGCACTGCCGGTCAGAGGAAATCTTCGGCTGACCAGAAGTTCCAGTATAGGGGAAGGTTTTGGAGCATTTGGGCGAGTACAAGTATATTCTGTATTGTTGAATCCCTAATTAAAAACTGTATTTGACTGTGCTAAATAGTGCTTCTCATTGGTTAGCGTGGTCACCTGACCACGCTAACCAATGAGTGCTTGCAATTTGACAGCAAAATTCAAAATGCATAGGGCTGGACTGTACAGGCGGAGGGTAAGGACTGTTCACAGAAAAGTAAGTCTAGCCAGGAGGAGGGAAGGGTTCTAGGAGAGGCCGGGTCAGATTTCATTTTCCCATATTACTTGGGAAAGTGAGCTTGCTCCTTAAAGGAGAACTATGAGGTGAGTGATTTTCACTCAGCCTCATAGTTCGAGCGGACGTGTGACAATGAGACTGTCACACGTCGGCTCTATAGATCAGGAAGTTAGGCAACACATACCGTCGCTCGCTTACTTCTCGATCCTGTCCCTGCAGAGAGCCGTAGCTGTCACTCACGGTTCCCTGCAGGCATTCCCCCCCTCCCCGCTCTGATCCTCCAGCACTGACTGGAGGAGCGAACGGGGAGGGGGCGGGTACAGCTGGTTCTGCCTCTAGATAGGCAGAGCCAGCTGTCAATCACGCAGCTGAGTTGATCTCAACAGTAATGTCAGGATCCATGTCGGCTGCGGCGGTCTCAGTATATAGTGAGCTGTAGCTCGCTTTGGGTCACGGGAGGACGCTAGTTTATGTCCTCCCGTGACCCTGGGGAAAAACACTGACCCCATAGTTCTCCTTTAATGCACATTGTGCGTGTAGGAGAGTTCTGCTGCTTGGCTACCACAATATGGCACACAGTGGAATGGCGGCAGCACTCAACGCACACACACAATGTCCTATGCATGCATTTCTTTATATGCAGATGACTGTGGCAGCGGGGTTGGTTTTAACTTTTTTTTTTTACTTTATCACTTTTATTTTAGCCGCCGATCCTTTCATACAAGTGATCTAATCAGATCACTTGTATAAAAACGAGCGGCGTCCCCACGCTGTACATTTAGCTCTGCTTGTCCGAAGCAGGGCTAAATGTTAAAAAAAACTACTCGCCCGGCGCCCGAAACTGCATGTCCCGGGCGTCGGGCGATAGGAATTCCAAACCCCTGTCTATCATTTTTCTATTTTGCCATCTATGCGCCATAGGAGAGCTTTCCATTCACTTTGGGTTTAATAAGGAGTTGCGCTAATATTGCGCAACATAAAAATTTGCAACTACCACCATTTTATTCTATAGGGTCTTGACATTCAGAAAATATATAATGTGTGGGGGTTTTAAGTCATTTTCAGGCCTAAAATGTGGAATATAACATGGGTGCAAAAAATGAAAAAAGGGCCTCAGTCATGAAGGGGTTAAGG